TCCCAGACTGCTCAGAGAATTGCTCCACCCTGGGACCAGTTTTATACCTGAGTAGACTGGGGAGCTTCCTGCTGACCTGTGTGGTGACAAAGAAAACAAACTTGTGTGGTGAGACAAGAAAATACGGTACATTAAAAAAACCAACATACCTCATTATTTCAGATGCACTGCAACACAGAACAGTAAACAGGCCAATTGGTTTAATGACTCCTGTTGTTTAACGTTCTGACGCATGCGAAGTTGTGAAGTGCGCCTAAGACACACTACGCTGCTACTGCGCCACATTATGCAACACAGAGATGTGGCACAATCATTAGTAAACCAGAACCCGGCACATAAGATGTGTCTGGGAGCTATATCCACTCTATTATGCCATTTAGATGTTCACCCAGCACAGCCTACATCTGTCTCTAGAAGCAGAGGACCCACTGCTCTATATTTGTTCTATTCTTGCTTCTGGTGAACTACAAGTCCCAACATAACATATTTGCATTTCTCCTGTCTCTGGAAAAATGCAAATCCCAGCACACACTGTTTGTTTTTGGGACATGTAGCTCCATAGAGACATGACATATGTAAATACAGTGCTGGGACTTGTATGAGAAGAGAAAGGCAATATTGCACAGTATCCTGAGACTTGTAGCTCTATAAGGAAAAGGGGAATGCAGGTTTAGTATGGAGGTGATTGTAGTTCTACAGAAGCAGGACCAATGCAATTATAGGAGTACAAGTTGTATTTTTTCTACTGCCAAATCCCTCCTGTGCTCAGAATGGCCATAAATTTGCTAAAACTTTTGCATTTGAAAAATGTATAATGTACGCAAGGTACTAATATTGCAGCTTCACATGTGGTGGCTGCATTCGTTTTCTTTTTCAAGCTTCTACTCCTTTTCAACTGGTGATTGTGTGACACCCTTCCTGTCCTGTAATGACAGTGCTTACTCACCCCACTGTATTAGGACAAGATAGGGAGATTCTGGTTCATGCACTTTATGTCATCGGTATTGATAGGAAGTGTTGATTTAGTAGAATTAAACTCTCCTTTGTTTTTGCATATATCTATTGCTAGCGAGCAGTGGATTTATGCAAAAACATTGAAAAGCTACCATAAAGGTAAAAACTTACTTGTGTCTCCGCCGCTCGCTCCAGTCTGAAGATCTTGAGCGGCCGCGGAGGATCATGGGGCGGGCGCATGCGCAGTAGAGATCTTCGGTGGGGAGAAGAGAGACGCAGTGGAGCTGAATGCATGCAGCCGGCAGCAAACACGTCAGACAGACACTGTGGGACAGGAAGAGACAGCAGAGACTGGCACCAGCGATGGAGGGATTACTGAATACAAGTGGAAGGAAGATGATCGGATCGAGAGGCATTATTTAAGGTGAGTCCTTAAAACAGCACTGGAGGGGGGGGGGGAGTGTGACTTTAATGTCAGTTTAAAGCTAAACGTTTATTTAAATACATTCCTCAATAGCCACAAAGCACTTTGTGTGCACCTAATGCCTTTGCAAACTCAGATATCACCTTGGAGAAGTATTGACGACATCATCGCTGTGCTGCACCACTCCTTTATCTTAAGGCCTCATTCACACTGCTAAGAGCCGGCCTGTACAGATCCGTGCAGCTGTATCGGGCCGCTCCTGGGAAGGACAGGTGCTGCGTGTGATTGTACGCTGCAGCCTGTTCTTCTCTATGGGAGTACCCGGCCGTACGCTCACCCGAACTGCACGACCGTGTAGGTGTCCCTACTCGTACACAGACAGGATGGATCCTGTCTGCGTCCGAGCACAGACACCCACATGGACGTGCAGTTCGGGTGAGCGTACGGCCGGGTACTCCCATAGAGAAGAACAGGCTGCAGCGCACAATCACACGCAGCACCTGTCCTTCCCAGGAGCGGCCCGATACAGCCCTGCGTGCCACTGATCTGTACGGGTCGGCTCTTTGCAATGTGAATGAGGCCTTATACTGGCTTCCTAAAATAACAAAAGGCAATCATTCCACATTTAACACCATGGTTTATCCATACTTGCAACATGGTGCCATTCCACAGCCACCCACCTTTGGATGGACCCCCTGCTTACCTGAATCGCAGGGTGCTTCTCCCTGCAGGCTCCTGTCATCATTTTTTTTTTTTAATTGCTCTGTCTGTACAGCTGCATCAATCATTCACTGATCCTATGAATGGAGGGGCTACAACTCCTATGTGGCACTGCAGCAGAGGTACCTGTAGTTCTCAATGTAATACAAGTGCGGTGACATCATTGTACTCGTATATCATTGACACTTTCCTCTGGCTGCAAACCAGAAGGTCTATCCTTCTGCATGGACAGGAGCTGGGAGGAAGAGTCTGCAGGAGCAAGGGCATTGCACATGTGATCCACTGGTCGCGGATTACAATGTTTTTCCGCCTCAAATACAAAAAAAATAAAAAATTCACTTTTTTTTGCAAGAAGTGGAATATGGCTTTAAAGGTTAAATGAAAAGTTTAGTGCAGTACAACAATTCTGATAGTAGTAAACAGTGATAGTCTTAAATCCTCATGTATTAATACTGATTATCCTCTACCTACATCTTACTAGGTGCACTTGCAATGTAGTTTTGATTACTTTGGCCCCAAACACATACTTTAGGTGCTGTGACGATCTTCAAGCTGTGTAAGTCTCAGTGCTGCTTCCCCTTCTAGACACGGAGCGTGCACTGTGCGTGTCAATTAATCAGCATCTGTTTGCAATGCGCATGCGTTTCCCATAAAGAATAGAATGCAGCCAGCTGTCGATCTAAACAATGGTGGGCGGAGAAGGGGTGTGGCTTAAAAAGGACTGCTTCCTGTGCTGTGAGTGCATGGAACACTTGTGCATCAAGATTTTACCCTACATGGGAACATGCATGTCAGGGTGGCTACGCCAGGCCTCCAGGGTGAGCCCTGCAATCTTCCAAGTCCTTCAGGAGCTCGTTTGGCTGAAAAAAAAATGCTGGAGACAAGTAGGATATTACATCAGTGTTTATTGTTGAGGATTTAAAAAAGAAACTTTACCCAGATCTCTGAAATGACAACAAACACACCTTTAGAAATGTTTAGTAACGACAATCTACAAACACATACTTCTAGATCATTGCTGGCTTTGTATTCTTTGCATACCTTATTTCTCCCCGCCCAGTCTTCTGACAGTGGCCATTTTAACTAAGGGCAGATTACTAGATCTCCCTTTACTTCCTGGAACTCTGGAACATGTGACTAGGACATGTGACCATGCCCATCATTTCAGGGGAGGAAAATGCCTTTCCCTGAGATCTCCCAGCAATGCTCTGCTGATGTAACCTTCCCAGGATGCAATACGTGTACACCATTACATCATTTGTACCAAAGTGGACCAGGAAGTGAAATAAAGAAGCAAAATAAAATGATGTTTGTTTAGCTAATGAATGTAAGATGATTTCATATGCAGGGCAGTATGCTGATGTGCTTTGTGGTAAATTTCTACTTTAATAACACTTTAATATGTATTTAATCCCTGTATTCAAAAAATGGAACTTTACAAAAGAAATAAAAATGTGTTCCTAGGCTTATTACTGCAAAAGAGACATGTATGGGCTGATTTATAAAGGGTTCACCCAGCATTACTGCCACCCGATGGAATTTCCTGTGCTCCTCGGCTCCTTCTAGTGACATTAGTTCCACAGCGATCACGCAGCTATACGCTGGGCGAACCCTTTATAAATCAGCTCCTGTGTCTTTTCTGAAACAAAGGATTCTTTATTTCCTGTTTGCCATCTTCTGGACCATGGCTCCAAGCAAGTTTTTTGTTATTATCGATAAGTATGTGCAGTGTATTTGTTAAGGTCCCGGCCCCCCCTTTGGACTTGGTACCTTCCTGAGAATGTGCGTGCAGGAAGGTCTTTTATTTTGCCAGGGGGTGGAGCTTTCTTTAAACAGAGACACCAACGCGGGCGGGGGATCCGGGGGGAGGAGAAGAGAGACACTGACAGACGCTGGGGGGTGACATAAAAGTTTCCTTGGCCGAAAAGGGGTCTCAAGTGTTAAAAGTTTAAGAAGGCCTGTTCTGGAAAATGTACACTAAGCTGCACATGCGCAGGGGGTTACATCACACTGGTGTGGCCAATCAACATGGTAGAAGATCCCAAACCTGGAAGAAGATGTTGACACCAGCAGGAGAGCTTGCAGGCATTACAACGCTGCGGGTGTGTATAGTTTGTGGATACTGCAATGGAACAATATGCATCAGGCTCAATTCACAAAGTGTTTTCAGAAAAGCCCTCAGAGATTTGGAAATAACAGCCAGATAACAAATCTGAGATCCTTATCCTTGTGTGTAAAGCTCTGTGAATTGAGCCTTGTTAAAGTGCAATGATTGCCATTTTGGGGGGATTGAGTGGAGAGGTATTAGAACACCAGGTCTATAATGCTGTCTCCGCCCCCGCTAGCAACCTTTATCGTTAAAAGAAAATTCTAATTTTGGGGTTGTCACGAGAACAGGAATAGATGGGAAGTATCCCAATGGGTACACTAGTTCTTGGTGACCCTGCTGACCACAGGGGACTTTCTTCAATTTGGATGGATTTTCTCACTTCCTGTTGCAGCTATCTGACAGGAAGTAAAATCCCTCCGATGGGACACATTTAAAAAAAACTGACAGAGGTTTTCACCCTCACTTACTCTATCCAAAACTGAAAAAAATAATGGCTTTAGTTCTACTTTAAAGCTCTGAGAATTGAGCCCTACAGTCCTGGATCTAAAGAGAAGGCTTGGAAGGAAAGACCTGTGTCACGTGAACCTCCCCTCTACGATTGGAAGCTCGGGAGCTTGCACATGCGCAGTGATGTCTGTGAACGCCGGGGGTAGAAGGGAGCCGATAATCCGGCAGGTATTGCCACAGATCTCTTCTTCCATACTGCACTTATCGAAATACTACATACTAACTTCTCCCACAATAGCGTTTACCCTTTCATTACAGATCTAAGAAGTGGGTGGAGCAGGGGTAAGGCTTAGAAAGGACTCCACCGCTGCCCTGAGCGTGCGTCATGCCGCACTCTCGTACGTCAGTCACCACACGCGCTCCTGTGTACGGAAAAGGCTGAGCGAATCGCATAGAACACAGGACGTCCTTTGCGTGAAGCCGCTGGGAATTTCAGCGCATGCGCGGTGCGGTGACCTCGGCAGACCAGCCAGAACATGGACTCGGTGACAGAAAGCGGCTGAGCCGGGTGAGTGGGTGAGAGTGAGGGAATGGACGGTGTCAGTGCTCATGTGGGAGGTGTGTGGGCTTTATACAGGATGTAGTCGGTGCAGCGGCACTGATAGATGTGTGACATTACAGGAGGCTGTCCATTATGCATTTATTGGTGTGAGCTGTGTACATCTGTGCCTGCTGATGTCTATAAATAAACACACCCTGTTACAGCTGACATGCATCAACTTTATATCTATATATTGAATTACGCTTGGACGAATTTCCCTTCACAGCATATGAGGATATATTTGTTTGTGTGAAGAAGGCTCCTTGTCATTTCTGCATTGACAGCTAATATAGACCTTGGTAGTCTTGTGCTGGGGCCCCTTCGCCCTGCACTGGGAAGCCCTTTGCCACTATTCCAGGGACCCCATCATCTTGCACTGGGGCCCCTTGCTCCTGTGCCAGGGACCCCTTTCTTCTTGCACTGGGGCCCCTTTGTTCTGCACTGGGGACTGTTTGCAATGGGGCCCCTTTTTTTTCTGCACTGGGGACTCCTTTCTCCTTGCAATAGGACCCCTTTTTTTCTGCGCCGGGGACTCCTTGCAATAGGGCCACTTTATTCTGCGCTGGAAACTCCTTTCTCCTTGCAATGTGGCCCCTTTGTCCTGCGCCGGGGACTCCTTGCAATGTGGCCACTTTTGTTCTGCACTGGGGACTCCTTTCTCCTTGCAGTGGGCCCCTTTGTCCTGTGCCGGGGACTCCTTTTTCTCCTTGCACTGGGGCCCCTTTGCCCTGTACAGGAATGTCTTTTTCCCCTACAGCTAGGGCCCCATTGTCCTGTGCTAGGGACTCCTTTTATCCTTGCAGTGGGGCCCCTTTGCCCTGTTACAGGCATGCTTTTTTGCTCCTACAGCCAGGACCCCATTGTCCTGAGGGGACCTTTTTTTTCTCTCCTTGCACTGGGTCCCCTTAGTCCTGCGCTGGGGACCCCCTTTTTCCCTTGCACTGGGGCCTCTTTGTCCTGCTCCGGGGACCCCTTTCTGTGTCCTGCGCTGGGAAACCCTCTGTGTTTATGACCTTGGTGATGACATGATGAACAGGACCAGTTTCTCTCCTCATTGTCCTCCTTGTCTTCTTGTAAACTGGTTCTTTGTTTCTGAAACAAGAGAACAACCTGCTTGTTGGAATGACAGTGGCTGAGTTGCCAAATCAAGACCGGAGCCGGTTCTCTCTAGCAATTCATCAGGTTCAGGTTTTATTATACAGCTCAAACATAATTGATATGTGACAGCTTTGGTATGTATTCCGTTTTGTTGACACTAGAATTACATGTGTTCTACAAATCTCTTGTTGGGGTTTTTTTTTCTTGTGTAATTTTGTAGTTGAATTCATTGATGGGCAGTGATCCGTGTCCCTACTTCTGATTATATCAGAGCAGAGTGCTGAAAAGAAACTTGTTAATAATTTGTAGCTTTTCAGAATGGTTAACTTTGTTTCTCTGAGTGTTCCTTCACAGCACGCTCATTGCATAGTCTGCACAGATCAACGCAGACTCAAATCTACGGTCATAATAAACAATATCATCGCTTTTCTTCCTCGCTGGTGCTCCCATCTTTCTCCCGGTCGTCTTCTGGATTTAAGGTCTTTACTGTCTATGGTTGTTTAATTGGCAGGACCAGATAACATAACTCCTGCTCATGGGAGTTACTTCATCTTTTCAAGGAATTGTGCCGAGACTGCAGCTGCAAACTAAGCTGTTCATGCAGGACTCAATGTATAATAAAGTGCTAATAGGCAGGAAGAGCTAGTCTCTTCTGTCATAACAATCCTACCTGTCAGCACTTTGCTTCTTCTGCTTTGACATATACAGAGGTAACCAGGCCTATTTTGCTTTCTTATATTTGACAGCTGTCATCACCTTCCTAAACCAGGGTAGACCTTGCTTTGTTTACATGTAGCCTGTCTGAGTCACCAAGAACAAGGAAGGATTTTGCGCCTCTTACCAGTTTGGTTCCTTGTCTTTAGTGCCATGAGCCATAAATGCTTTCCAAAAAAACTGGCAGAGGAAAAAGGCAGTCCCTGCATTGTACAGAATGTACATCTCTAGACCAGAGAAGGGAGGCGTCCGAGATTTTCATATACGTTCATTCTGCTTTCCATAATATGCAGCATGGAATCACATTGGATGGGCAGGCCTTAGCTAAAGTTCTTTAGGACTGTCTGCATCCAAAAATGTGACATCTCTGTTCATTTATTTTAGTAATCATCATCTTTCTTTTTGGGTGGGGGGCAAGGGGGCTCCTGGGCTTTGAAGATGTTGAATAAAACAGATTTGCTGACGGCTGCCTGCCTTTTTCATTCTCCCTTGTCTGTGGTAAGGTTGGCCATACATTTATTAACTTCCTTATTAAAACAACAATCCCCACCCCCCCAAAAAAAAAAAAAAAGTCAATGCAGCGTGTGCAGTGCTGTGTACAGTGGTAGGCACCCTCTGCTTTCCAGCTGTGGTGTAACTGCAAATCCCATCTTGTCCCTGTCCCATGAGACTTGTGGTTCTACAACAGCTAGAAAGTTCTCCTTAAAGCCTGGTAATGGGTCTTAAGCGTACAATCCTTCTTTAACATTGTATATATTCCACTGAGCAGTTGTTTACTGCTAATATCATTAAAGTGACACTAAGCTCTGGATTTTAGTCTTAAAAATACATTCAAGTTCCTTAACTATTGAACAAAAATGTATCTTATTTGTGTATCACTCGGCTGTAGGTCCTCAAATCATCTCTGAATTGGTGCTGACACTGTCCTTCCTTCTGGAGGGTGGATATTTTTGTTCCCCCATGGTCCCTGTGTGTTGTAAAGTAGCCACCGCTTCAATCTCCCTCCTGAGATGGACTACAATCTCACTACAAATTAGTAAACTAAACCTGAGATTGTAGTCCATCATGGAAGCGAGCTTGGAGTGGTGGCTAATTTACAACACACATGGGGAACAAAAGTCAGCACCCTGCAGAAGGAAGGACAGTGTCATCACAAATTCTGAGGTAGAAATGTAAGCAGGCCAAAAAGTTCTGTTTTGGATTTTTCGTTATTTAATTTTTCGAGATTCGGGTCTGAGAGTCAGTTTGTTTCGTTATTCGGACGAATCCTAGTTTTCGATTAGATTTCGGGTGAGTTAAACGATAATTATGAACGAACGTTCGTTGCAGGGAAGTGACATTAAAGTGGGCTCTGCTATTTACTTACAAATAAAGCTTACCTACTTCCTGGTCCCTTTTGGTACAAATTATGTAATCGTGCCCAAGCACTGAATCCTCTGAAGGTTACATCAGCAGAGCATTGCTGGGAAATCTCATCTGTAATCACGAGATCTCAGGGAAAGGCATTTTCCTCACCTCAGATTATGTGCATGGTCTCATGTCCTAGTCACACGTGCCAGAGTTCCAAGAAGTAAAGGGAGATCTAGTAACCTGCCCTTAGTAAACATGGCCACTGTCAGAAGACTGGGAAAGAAAAGAGAAGCAAAGTATGCAAAGAATACAAAGCCAGCAATTATCTAGAAGCATGTGTTTGTAGATTGTTATTTCTAAAGGTGTGTTTGTTGTTTTAAAGATATGGGTAAAGGTCCTGTTTAAATTTTTACTTTTGTGTTTTTAACTTAGACAAGCCACAGGAATAAAAGAAGCCTGGGGTCCGTCCCCCCCTAAAATCCCTTCCCAGACCCTAGATCCGAGCGGCAGCCTGGCAGAGTAGGGGGGGCAGCATGCTCCCCTCTCCTGCACCATACCAGGCTACACACCCTCAACATGGGATGGGTGCTTCACCAAGGGGGGTCTCCCTGGCAAAGCACCTTGTCCCCATGTGGATGAGGACAAGTGCTTCTTCCCCACAACCCTGGCCCGGTGGTTGTTTGGGATCTGCGAGCAGGGGGGTTTATCTGAATCTGGGTGCCCCCTTTCATAAAAGGGACAACCAGATGCCACCCCCCTTGTGAATGAGTAAGGGGTAGTTATACCCTCTACTCATTCACCAAATCATGTAAAATAGTAAAGAAACGCATTTGCTCTTCAAAAACAGCGCTACAATTCCCTTCTCCTGGTGTCAAACATTAAGCTGCATCACCAACAGTGCTAGAAACTATACTATGAACAATATTGGTATATGTGCACTGCGCTATTATATTATAAACCCCAAAAAACTTTGTACATGCACATAAGTGAAAGCTCACCGTGCACGTCAATCATGACGGACGATGGCCGCCGACTCGCCCAAAGAAAAAATCCCTGCCGCCACGACTGAACCCGATGAACACCGGCTGCAAATGACCGCTCTGCTGACAAATGTTAAAGGGGCAGAGCATGTCGTGACATCACAGGACTTGTTCCACCCATTTTCTTACATTTCATGACAGCTCTTGGTCCCCTAATGGAATGTAACAAATGCGTGGAACAAGTCCCGTGACATCATGACTCCCTCCACTCCTTTGTTGACATTTCCATGTTAAAGGGCATGCGGGCTGGTATGGTGCAGGGAAGGGGGGGCGCATGCTTATCCAACCCCCTTTCCTGCCAGGTTGCTGCTCGGATCAAGGGTTTGGTAAGAGATTTTAGGGGGACCTTTTTTTTTTTTTTTTTTTTTTTTTTATTATACATTGGGATCCCCCCTAAAATTCAGGAGGAGGGGACCTCATGTGTTTTTTTTTGTTTTTTTAAATTCTAACGTTTTAACAACACAAGTTCATTCCGAATGACATTTGGAAAAGATTTTGGGTGCATCCAAATTTTCATTATCACAAATTCTGATACGTTGGGATTTGAGGATCTGCAACTGAGTGATACACAAATAAGTTACATTTTTGTTAATTAAGTTACTTGAATGCATTTATTTTAAAGGTTTATCTCCTGAGTTTAGTGTCACTTTAAAACAATTCAAGTAAGTTTGTCTGTTTTGCGCAGCATTGTGCTTTCTGTGAACTATGCACCGTAATGCAGCTGACGTGATAGTGAATGTAAACATACCGAAATTATGGGAGTTCTAGAAGAAGTCACTGGAGCAGTTGTAGTCATAAAGTATGCTTGCTCATATTCCTGCATTCATTTCTTTATAGCTCTTGTTACAGTGCTGCTCTTTCCACAGAGCTTTGATTAAACCGGGACGTAGCTGTGAAGGAGCCTTAAAAACCTCCCTAAGCAAGTGTGATCCAGTTCAAATCATAACCTACAAGTTGAGGAAAACTATGCTGGTTTTCTGAGTGATGATTGTCAAAGTCAATGCTTTAAAATTCTCCAAGGAGAATCATCTTGTTTTGCTATATGGAATGAAAAGCTCTGAAATTATCTGAGGATTTAGCAGTCGTGGTTAGGGATGCACCCAAATTTCTGCTGCCGAAACATATCGGACAAAATTAGTACTTTGGGCAAAATGCTGAAAGTACCATTTATTTTCAGCCAAAATTGCGGTGCATCTCTAGTTTCTCTCCTCCTCGCTGGGAGGTGCTCTGTGAGAGGGGACCTCTGACACAAAGCAGCATACAGCAGGGAGGAGAGAAACCTTCAGGAGGCCGAGCGCTGTCAAGTGTGTCACAGGAGGCTCAGCGTCCGGCAGAGACTCAGGATGGAGAGCGGGGAGGAGACCGCTGTTAGGTGTCACAGGGGGCCGAGCCAGTGGTGTGGAGGAGGAGTCAGCTGTCAGCCATGTCACAGGAGGCTGATCTCTCCTCCCTGCACCGGCCGCTCAGGCTCCTGTGACTGCCGAAGGAGTTGGCATTGATAGCAGTATCAAGCACTCAACGATCAGCTGATATGTGTTTGTACATAAATGAGGACATAGTATGTTTTACTATTTCCCCAATTAAGAACAGGAAGTGCTCTAAATCAATTCCTGTTCATTCATGATTGTGGACGTAGAAACTGATCCTATAGCCACAGTTTATGAATGAACAGGAACACTCAGTATAGATGCTTCCTGTTCATTCATAAGAGGGGTTGCACCAATAGAGATTGAGGTCTTCATCTCTTTTTCAAAGGGGAAATATCAGGGGACTGTTTGGACCCCTGATATTTCCCCTGAGCCCCCGACAAACATTTTTTTTAAAACTTTACTAACAGTTGGGGGAAAAATTTTGGTTTCGGCCTGACAAATCTTTTTTTTTTTCATTGTTTGTGGTCTGAAAATTCTATTTTGGTGCACCTCTAGTCATGGTTCATCTCTGGTATCCATACCCTCTGAGCTACAGACCTGGCTGAAAGACAAATGCAGCAACTGAAGTTGTTTTAAAGTTGGATGCACTGTGATCTGCGTCCTAGTTTTTGGCAATTGCCTTAAAGCTGAATTTTTCCGGGATTTTATTTTTTTGGGGGGGCGGGGAAGCTGCTTATTCATACTACAGTATGTGAATGTTTCAAAACAATCCTTGAACAATAGAAATCACCAGCACTCCGTAAATTAAATTCATCTGAAAAACATCTCTGCCCTGATGAAGGGACCCTGCGTGGTCCCGAAATGTTGGATTATGCGAGATGTGTGACGTTAGGTCCAAATAGATTGATTTTTTTTTTTTATTTAATTTACGGAGTGCTGGTGATTCCCATCGTTCATTGACTGTTGTACACGGCACCATCCGTGATTGTCACTGCGAGAACAACTATTTTCACTTGGACCGGAAGCGCTGTAAGGAGTGCAGGGGGACCTACTGTTTTCTCAAAACAATCCTTCACATTTTACTGGGCCCCCCCCCGTCATAAGGTTTACATCAGAATAAAACTGCATGCACAATTTTTTGCAATCGCACTTCACTAGCAAGCAAGGCATTGCAGTACCATGCGTTCCAGTGTGGGCGATCACACTGTGGTTGGGAGGCACGTTTGGTGGTGCCACTGAAATGAATGGCACTGCAATGCACCTCCCGGAGCAGAATTTTTCAGGCCGAAACCAAAAATGACTTTTTTCCAACCTTTTTATAATTCCTTTTTTTTTTAAATAATTGTATTGTAAGCACTTGAATAGCTTCAGCCAGGGAATGACAGCTGCCAGTGGGAAGATTCCGCAGACGGCAGCTGAATGGAAATAAAGCAGGTAGTAGGGATGCACTGATACTAGTATCGGTGCCGAAAACAAGTATTCGGTCAATGAGGAAGCCAGACGGAGGGTATTGACTCACGGCCCAAGTCATTACCCTGATTGGCCGGGAAGCCGTCTCGATGCTGATTTGGCTGGGAAGCCGGCTTTCCGGGCAATCGTGGAGCCGGGCGGCTAGTAATGACACGCTGCCCGGCTTCCTGATTGCCCGGGAAGCCGACTCCATGCTAGATTGCTAGCAGAAGTACCAGTACCGTTACTCGGTATCAGTGAGTACTGAAGCGAAAGATAAATATCAGTACTCGTACTAGATACCGAAAAACCTTTATTGGTGCATCCCTAGCAGGTAGTGGAATGGTGCAGTAGCCAGCCTGCTATTGGCCATTTCAAATTGCAATTGCAAGCTGGCTATTGCACTCGGCCACTGCTTGCTGTGCCCCCTCCCTGTGTGGAGGAGAGAGCTAGGGATCCAACCAACTAATCGATAATGAGAATAGTTGTCATTTATTCTCATTATCAATTGATCGATTAGCTGGTTGCAGCCCTACATTTTACATTGTGTAATGTCTAAGCTATAGATGTTGAATTTGTACTACAAGGTTTACAATTTCTGCTCTTACTGGCCTCTGCTATATCAAGAAGGCCGTGGTGTTTTTTGTTTATGTTCTCTTTTTAATATTATTTATAGTAAACCTTTCCTAAGAGCATCATGGAAGCAGCCATTGATGGCCCCTGTCTGAAAAGGGTGGGTTATCCTGCCCCTCTGTCTTAGATACTTTGATTCACTGACCCGGAACAAGTCCGGAAGTCATATCTACACACTTGTTCTGGTTTAGTGACTTTAGACTATTTGTGAGAAAGTCACCATGACAGCCGTGCCACGATCCTGAGGAATTTTGATTTAATGTCTTACAACTTATTGTATCCACATGATCTGGCGCCTAAAAAATGGCTACCTTAATGCTGTTTTTCTGTGTTACAGTAGCTTGTATAATATTTATGGTACTGTATATTCCAGAACAATATCTGTACTATGTGCTGGTTCGCCTTTTTATATTAAATAGATTTTTTATTTTTTTTATTGCTTTTGGCATCAGTTCAAAGTTTGATGTTCTGTTTGTTTCCTGCAGGCTACAGTCATAGAATTCTGACATTTTCCCATCACAATGGCTCAGTATGGAGGACAGAAGACACCCCCACCATGGGCCACCCAGTTTACAGCGACTGCGGTGTCACAGCCAGGTAGAGGAATACTCCATTTTGGCTCTTCCCTATATGCCTGTTATTAAACATGGCGCTAACTTATTTTCTGGACATGTCAAGAGTGATTTATTTACTTCCTTTAGGCCAGCAGTTCTCAACCTTTCTAGTGCTGCGACCCTTTGATAACAGTGCCCAAGTTGTGTCGACCCCTAACAGTAAAACGATTTTCGTTGCTCCTTCATCCCTGTAATTTTGCTACCATAAGATAGCGGCTCCCGGCCGCCCAGGAGAGAAACCCTTTCTCCCGGAAAGGTTTACTCTGCTCGAGCAGAGTAAACCTTTCCCTGCTCCTGAGTTTTTGTTTTTTTCTGACATCGGAGCCGCCATCAGTCAAGAAAAAAAAAAAACATCATAGGAATGCATAGCTAGATTCCTATTGGCTATTTCAATTTTCAATATCCAATAGCAAGCTGGCTATTGCACCCGCCCTCTGCTGTTGTCAATCACCAGAAGGGGACCTGATGGAGAACTTCAAGTCCCCTTCTGCTGATTGACAGCAGCAGTGGGCAGGTGCAGTAGCTTGTTTGCTATTGGCTATTGCAAAGTGAAATAGCCAATAGGAATCTAGCTATGCATTCCTGTGCTGTTTTTTTTTCTGACTGACGGCAGCCGGCAGCTCCGATGTCAGAAAAAAAAAAAGAAATCAGAGCTCGATCGAGCAGAGTAAACCTTTCTGGGAGAAAGTGTTTCTCTCCCCGGGAGCCACAATATAATTGCGGGGGAGACTCCCGGAACGTCTGGGAGAGTTGGGATGTCTTTAGGCGACCCCTGGCAAATCGTCATTCGACCCCCGACGGGATCGCGAGCCACAGGTTGAGAACCGCTGCTTTAGGCGAATGTCAGTAAGTACAACATTTCAACACAATATCTGTTGACATGTCCAATGTTATTGATCAAGATTGAATACATACTGTTTATGAAGATTATAGTTTCAGATTGGTCTGAAAGATGGAGTTGGGCTTGAACATACAGTCGGGAATATCCTTATTAACATCCTGAAGGCTACATTATTCATAAAGCCACAAAGCAAATGTTCATTTTGATGACCAGTATGGAAGCAAGGAATGTCATTCTCTGAATTAGTTAATACAAGTCTCCCAATTGTTTAATGGTCCCTGTCTATACAGGCTGGCAGCATACTCCATAGGGGTTAGAGGAGGGCCAGGATTAATGTCGGGATGGCTCGTTGTGACTAAAGGCTAGTCTGCATAGACCAGGCCATTTTTTTCTAATATTGTATTTGGAGTGCTAAAAAATATACTTAAAAGTACACGAAATACCCACTCAAAAAAATGTGCAGCCCCAATGCAGTGTTGATTACCATTTGCATAGGTGTGAATGGTTCCATATGCATTTGTTACTACATGTTACTTATAAGGGCTTTACTTTGGCTTCGGGCAGACATTGCATAAATTCACGTGCTCTTCTTTTTTTTTTTTTTTT